GGGGGGGGGCAGGAGGGGCACTTTGCTCCCCCTGGGCCATTTCCAACATATCTGAGCAGAAAGACGTCAAAATAAGGAGCGTGGCAACTTCCGGGCAGTCCCTTCCTGACAACCAATTTTCCTCTGCTCTAAGTGGTTAAACCTTGGGCTCCTCTCCTCCGTAGACATGTGGTAAGCAGTCAGACAGACAGGAGCAGAGCAAGGACAGGGCCGGGGACAGTAGGTCACCAGGGCGAAAGGCCCTGGGTGCCTAGCAAAGGGTGGGACCTCCCCCCCAGGGTGACCTTTCCTCCCCTAGCACAGGGATGGTCATGCAGTTTGGACCCCTGACCTTTCCTCCCGAGAGATAACATCTCGGCCTCGGCTGTATTTCAGCTCCAGGCCCAGAAAAGCAGCAAAACCAGACCAGCGACCCCATGGCTGCCTCAGGACCAGCTGGATTGACGAAGGACCCCCTGCCCTGGTGCCAGCCAGTCAGTCAGCTCTGAAAGGGCTCACCTGGAAAGCTGCTGAATATTCCATTAGGAGCCCCTGGGACCTCCCCTCAAATCTCCACCCTTAAAACCCTAGGACTGAGGACCCAGTGCGCTTGCTCTCCCTCCTGGGAGCCGCCAGAGCCTTTCCCTTTTCCTGTTCCCTCCCCATACCCCGCTCCCCGCCAGGCTTGTTACCATTATCATTACCTTCCTCACTCCCAAGCTCCCAGGGCTCTTCCTTTACCTCATAACTCCTCTCCTCAGCCCATCTCTTCTACGAATGACTTCCGCTACCTCTGTGACTTTATAAAGAAATATTCTCTTCTAGTTGAGTCTTGGCTCTGAATTCTTTCCCAGCCAGAACCCAAGTACCGAGGTTGCTGAACCCAGGTCCAGTCTGACCTTATGGGTCTAAGACCCACTGCCATCGGCGCCGCCTGCAAGGGAAGAAAAGATGATTCTGGAACCTACATCATCAGGCTGGGGTGGACACTGGACACAGAACCAAGTAGGTCAAGAATGTGTCAGTGTTGAGCACATGGTAGAGAGGCTCAAAACGATCTAGCTATTACGTTTCTTTTTCCACGCTCTCCTCTGGGAGCATCTTATGAAAGAGACCCTTTGGGGAGAAAATATGTGTGTGTGTATGTATATAT